CGGGACCGACCGCACCGGGACCGACCGCACCGGGACCGCACCGCTCGGGACCGACCGCACCGGGACCGACCGCACCGGGACCGCACCGGGACCGCACCGCTCGGGACCGACCGCACCGGGACCGCACCGCACCGGGACCACACCGCCCGCCCTCCCCGGAACACCCGTGCTCGGGACAGTGGAAGCCGCACAGGCTGCCCCCACCCCAGCCCCCGCCGGACCCCACATCTGGCGCCTCTGGGAGCGGTTCCGACTGCTTCGGGGAAAAATTCCCTCCTTGCACCTGGAATCCTCGTGGACCCGGATTGGAGAGATTACTCCCCGTAGGAACCAAATCCAGCTAAAGCCCCTCCCTTCTCCACTCTGTAAATTCCCCACTCCAGCACTCTAGGTTTTCCAGCCAAATAAGCCCAAAATCAGTGTAAGAAAAAAATATGCCACCTCCTCCCTGGCCCAGGRACAAGAAGACTGCTTCCAGGACCAACTTTTCCCTAACAGGAATTTTTATTAAGAAACCTTTAAACAAATCCATGATGAGTCACCCCAACAGAGAGGCACAGCCCTGTGGGTCCATCATGGAACCCAGGAGATGCCAGGTGGGCACAGGGTCCAAACCCAACAAGACACCCAGCACCTTCTCCCCACAGTGCAAGAAGGGGACACTGGCCCAGGGATTCAGGGAAGGGGAGCATCCTGCTGCTCCCAGACTCCACCTCTTTATACAGTTGAAGGACAAATCCCTGTCGTGGCTGGCAGCACAGACAGCATAGAGAGCCCTGGCCAGGGTGAGATGAKAGACAAGGGGAAGCTTCCAGGTGACTGGTCCAGCCGTGGCAGCCTGGGAGCTTGGAGCAGGTTTGGGCAGGCTCAGGGCCTCCCATGCCCCAAATGCTCACCCGGGGCTCAGGAGCGGCCAGAGTCTCTGCCTGAGCCCCGCTCCCTGTGCCTGGAATGCAGCTCCCGGGATCTGCCTCCCCTAGGGGAAACGTCTTGCCGACTGCTGTGTCCATCACCCCTCCTGCCAGCCTCCTCCCTCTTCTCCCTCTCTTCCCAGGAGCTGCTTTGGCCCCTCTGCTCATGGCAGTTCTTGTCCCCTTTCCTCTCCGAGTGCCGCTGGTGCCGCCGCTGCTCGTCATCCTGCTGCATTCTGGTCCTGGGGTTCCTGTCAGAGCTCCCACCAGCATAGCGCTCATACCCAGGGTCCTCCTTCTCTTTCTTGATCTTGATCCTGGGATGTGGTTCCTCTGTGCTCATCCGCTTCTCAGCTTGCGGGCTTGACTTTGACCGTTCTGCTCTGCTCCGCTGTTTCTCTGGAACAAGGGTTCATACTTTGGCACAGACTGAATTCCAGGAGCACCTTGAGCTCGTAGGTTCTGCCTGGCACCACAGCACCATTCCAACTCCTCTTCCAGTCACTACAAATTCTCCCCCTCCACCCAATTTCCCAGCCTGCTTCCTCCTCAGGCAGATTCCAGTCCACTTCCAATCATCACCTTTTCTCCTCCAGCTGCAGCCATCCCACTTCTCTCTTTAATACTCACATCATGTCCTTCCCAGCAAGGCTGGGCATTTCCACATTGCTTGGAATGCTGAGAACCTCATTTTCATTCCCSTTCCTCACTAATATTGTGATCCACCCTGTGGAAATTCCCTTTCCAGACCCGAACACTCTTTTCCCTCTTTGCCCTCTCCCATTTTTGAGCATCTCCTCAGCACCCTAAACCAACACATGTGCCCACTGCGTGCCCACTTTCCTTCCTCCAATCGTCTCTCCATGCAGACTCCACTCCCCAAACCCTACCATGGGCACTCCCACCTGGGATCCAGCCTGCCAGGAACACTCCTCACCTTTCTGCTTTCTCACGGGCACATCGTCATCCTCTGACATGGAGTCGGATGAAGTGTGAGATGGTGTTTTGACCCCGCAGCCCTTAGCATGGAGGGCTCTGGTCACATCATCCCAGTCCTCGGATTCCTTGGGGGGCCGGTAGTTGGCCACGTGGTCCACACGGATGGTCCGCCCCTTGATCTGTGGGGACCGGGCTGTCACGGGCAGCTCCCGAGGCTGCTGCCTATGTGAAAAGGTACTCAGGGAGCCACGGCAGCACCTGAACTCCACTCACCTTGATCCCATTGAAATTGTCCACAGCCAGGATGGTGCTTCTCTGGTCCTCATAGCAGAGGAAGCAGAAGCCTTTGGACTTCCCGGTCTTCTTGTCCCGCACGAGGTTGATGTTGACGACCTCGCCGTACCTGTGACACACTATCAGCCTTCCGCGGCAGCGCCTGCGGCGCCGGGGCCGGGGCTGTGGTACTTACTGCGAAAATACGCAGATGACATCTCCCTCCGTCAGCTCGTAATGAAGTCCGCCTGCGGGGAGAGGGGAGGGAGGGAACGGGTCAACAGCACCGGCACCAGCCCCCGCCGGGCCCCACCCCGCCCCCGGCCCGCTCTGTACCCACAAAGATCCAAGCGCTGTCCTTGTACTCCGCGTGCCACGACACCGTATCCTGCACGCCCAGCTCCGCCTCCCGCGCGTTCAGCTCATTGATCAGCTTCACCTTCGTCAGGGGGCTGCGGGCGAGGTACCGTCAGCACCGGGACCGGCGGGACAGGACCAGGCCCGACCTTCCCCCCTCACACACCCCACACCTACTTCATGGCGGCGGCGGCGAGCACTGCGCCTGCGCGCGGARCCGCCCCGCCCCGAGCCGACGCGGTCATACTCGGGAGCAGACGAGTCTACCGATTAGAGCCGAGTGCAGCCGAGCGTGGCCGAGCCGGGCCGACTGGAACCGAGTTAGGTCGATAATTACCGAGATAACCCGAGCAGAACCGAACAGGAACGATTGTAGCCGAGCGCTATCCACCGAACCGTACCCGAGCGTGTACGAGCCGATTACAGCCGGTGACAGCCGATTGCGGCCGACTGCGCTGAGGCGCAAAGCAAGAGTCGGAGTATCACCGAAACTGCTGGAAAAACAAAAACCCTCTAACACTATATTTGAAGTGATAGAGAATCAGGCATTACTTTATTACTGGCCAGGATGTGCCACTGAAAATATTCCATACACACATAAATTTTACTAAATTTTTCCCAAATTTTATACAGTCCCAAACSCATAGAAATCCATTGTTCAATGTTCATTGGTCCCAAGTTGCGTAGTTCTTAGTATTTGGTTTCCTRTTGGATCGGGATTTCTTCGCYTCTGATGCTAATTAGGTCCTCACTCCTTGATTCCTGTATCASTCTTTTCTGGACCAGGGGTATCCAACCGTGCCAGGGAGTAGTGTCTGGAGTAGATGTTCACTGTTCTCTGATGGCCATAAATGTTCTGTTGATGGAGTCATCTTTTTGGGTATCAAGTCTTTTGAGGTGTCAAGCTCATATCCGRTGAGTGGGGCCCTCATCCCCTAAAAAAAAATTAAAATTCYTTTCCCCAMGGCAAAGGCAAACCAAGCCTGACTAGAGAAATAAAATTTAAAAAAAAATTAAAAGTTGTATTATTTCCAACATGAGCGCAGGGAGCTCAGAGCCTTTTTTGGGGTCCAGGCGGGTCCTGCTTAGCATGGGCAGGAGCCCTTCCCACTGGCCTCGTCCAGCCGCCGGCAATGTGGCTGGGGCTGCGCTGGCCAGCCCTCTGTGTCCCGGCAGGGCAGCAAGCGCTGTGCCTTCAGCCGGCACACCAGGCACATGAAAATGGCATCCACATTCTGGCTCTCCTGTGGGTCCTTGGCTGAGGTCTCAAACAAAAGCATGTTGTGAGCATCGGCAAACTTGAGRGCCAGGCTGGATGGCACCTGAATCAGGTCTTTCAAGTCACACTTGTTCCCCACGAGCACCCTGGGGACAAGCGGGGACACTGCATGCCCATTGCACTCCTCGATCCACGTCTTGAGGTTGGTGAAGGAGCTCATCTTGGTCACGTCGTACACAAAGACCACAGCGTGCACGTTGCGGTAGTAGTGCTCCACCATGCTCTTCCGAAACCTCTCCTGACCAGCTGTGTCCCACACTTGCACCTGGGAAGGGAAGCAGACAAGAAGGGAGGCTACAGGAGTGTGGAGTGTGGAGCGTGGCCCTGGCAGGGCCATGGGGTGGGGGCYGCAGGAGGGCTTCCTGCTGTCCAGCTTTCAGAGTCCCAGCACAGTTTGGACTGGAAGAGAGCTTGAACATCATCCAGTCCAACCCCCTGCTATGTGCAGGGACRCCTTGCACTATCCCAGGTTGCTGAAAGCCCTGTCCAACCTGGCCTTGGACACTGCCAGGCACAAGGCAGCCACAGCTTCTCTGGACACCCTGTGCCAGGGCCTCACCACCCTCACAGCCAAGAATTTCKTCCCAAAATCCAGTCTAAAMCTSCYCTCCTTAATGGCCCCAGCTCAAGACCAYTGTCCTGTCCCTCCCCCTTGTCCAAAGTCCCYCTCCAGCTCTCTTGGAACCCTTTTAGACACTGGAAGGGGAAGGGGGTCTAAGGCCTCCCCCATCTAGCCTTCTCCAGACTGAACAACCACTGCTCTCCCAGCCTGTCTTCAKAGCAGAATGGCTTCAGCCCTCAGAGCATCTTTGCAGSCTCCTCTGGACTCATTCCAATGGATCCACGTCTATTTGCGCACCAAATCCTACGCCATGAACAAGAATTCTGATGATTTCGCAGAGGAAAACAGAAAATGAGGAGGGGGAGCCACCCTTTGTGTAGGAGCACAGTGGGAGGGCCAGAAGCTCTGTGGGGAATGGGTGAGGATATGGGAGGGATAAAAGAGCAGGACATCACAGGTGACATTGTAGAGGGTCTCTGCTATTCCACCTGGCCAGGAACAGCAAACAAGTGAGGTTCTCTATGGACAGCGAGCAGCAGCCTTGTGTTTGCAGGCCCTGGTTCTCACAGAGAACTTCAGTCACCCCAACACCTCCTGGAAGGACAGCACAGCAAGGCACAGGCAATCCACAACATTCCTGGACACCATCGACGACTCCTTCTYGACCCAAAGGACAGAGATGCCAAGATGGATCCATCTGGGCTGGATGAGCACAGAGCTTGGTGGATTGGGAATGGCTGAATGTCTGGGCCTAGATAGTGCTGGTCAGTGACACCACATCTGGCTGAACACTGATAACCAGCAGGGTGCCCCAGGGGTCTCTGGGTTCTCCTGGTAATGGTTTGTAGCCTGGAAGTGGTAACTTCAAATTAATCCAAATTGCTCTGCACCCACGGAGACAGCACCTACCTCGGAGTCTTTCCAATTGAAAAACACTGGCAAAGCAGAGCTGCTGCTCAGTGCTTTCAGGGCCAGTGTCTCCCAGGCAGAGCAAGAAAGGGAGGGTCCTTCTCCCACCTCTCACCTCCTCTCTTGGATATCTATCCCAGGAAAAGGCCAGTTTGCTGCACTGCCTGCCACTCCTGCCCACTGGAGCTCAAATAATGCCCTAAGGTAGAAAACCTGGCAACATTTTCCAGATAGTGGCAACGAACAGGCTCCATGCCAGCCTGCACCACAGCTCACACTGGCACAGGTCCATGGGGCTGGACAGAGCTGGGGAGAGCAGGGAGAATGAGCACCTCTAAAGGAGAGTGGGAAGAATATTCATGGACAGCCTAGAAGCACAACTGAAGCTCTTACCCACCAACACAAGCTCTGGTTTGATTGTATCTTCAACTTTGGATCAGCCATCTGTCAATACAGCACTGATGTTAGTTCTTCCAGCACCAGSCTCAGAGGCTGCAGGTGCTGAACCCCACAGCTGAGCAGAACAAGCTCCACCACCAGTGGCAGATCTGCTCTGACACACCAGCCAGAGTTCTCCAGGTCTGGGCTGATCATTCCTTACAGGTGTCACTCCAGCCTTCATAAGCAAATTCATCCTGCTCCAGTCCTGCTGCAGTCGCAGCTCCCGGTGCCAGCTGGGAGCAGGTTCCAGCAGCACTGCACAGCTGCTGAGCCTGCTGCTSCTGGCCTGGGTGAGCTCTCGGCCTTTCAGCATGGCTGCTGCCATCCCACTGCCCTCTGCCTGCCAGACACCCTGCCTGTAGCACTGGGCTATGTCCTTCATCCCTCCACTGTTCTATCCCTCCACTGCTCCAGTGTCTGAGGCTGGAGCCACCCCAGTGCCTGACGATCCAGCTGTGCCCATCGGAAGGGTGGCTGTGACTCACCCTGAGCCATCACTTTTGATYACTGCAGCTCAAGCCAACCCCAGAAACAGAGACAAGACAGCAGGGACTAGCCCAGGGGCATCTCTGCAACACAGGGACGAGAATTCTTCCCTGGCGCCGCCGTTCCCTCCCTCCAACTGCGATGAAAGGAAAAGCCCCCAGGAGGGGTTTGGCAAGAGGCAGCCCCAGGGCAGGGGCAGGGATGGGGACTCGCTGCCATCGCTGCTGGGGCCGCTGCCGGCCAGGTCGGGGCCGATGCGGGGACAGAGCAGAGCTCACCGAGGATGGAGCAGGGCCCAATGGAGCCGGTGTGRAACCCACAGAGGGCGAAGCGAGGCCCACCAGGGCTGGTGTGGGACCCAGCAGGGACTGAGCGGAGCCCTCCGGGGCCGGTGTCAGCCAGCCCGGAGCCGGTGCGGGGCCCACCTTGATGCGCTCCCCCTCGATCTCCACCGTCTTCTCGCGGAAGTCCACGCCGATGGTGGCCTCGGTCTTGCCGGGGAAGGTGCCCCCGCAAAAGCGGAAGGTCAGGCACGTCTTGCCCACGTTGGAATCTCCGATCACGATGATTTTGAAGATGCGGGTCTGCACGTAGGGCTCCAGCGCGGGGTCGGGGCCCGGCGGCCGTCCCCCGCCGCCGCCCGCCGCCATCCCTCCCGCACCGCCGCCGCCTCACCGGCTCATAGGGGCGCGTCGCCCCGCACAGCGGCTACGGCACCGGCTCCGCCCCGCCTGCCGGCACCGGCACAGCCGCGGGTAGTGGCACCGGCACCGCCCCGTGTAGCGGCACCGGCACAGCCCCGCCCCACGCACCGGCTACGGCAGCGCATGATCCCGCCCCGCGCACCGGTACCGCGCAACTCCGCGCATCGGCACCGTCASAGCTCCTGCCCTGCCCCGCCAGCCCCCGCGCCGAGCCACGGACCGGGTACCGAGTGCCTTCAGCCGGGCATTCCCAGCTACCCGGTGGGGACCGGCAGGGCTGCGTGGAGCGGAACGGCCCCTCCCGGGAGGGAGCAAGGCGACAGAGGGGCACAGCGAGGCGGCACCAGACACTGGGGGAYACGAACACCCGCACGTTCCCAATGCCAAGAGGTGTCCGGTACCAAAATGACCCTCCCCGCATGTCCGGCTGGGCAGCCACAGCCCCCGTGTGGCAGCATCAGAAGRACCAGGACGGGGATGTGCCCCTTATGTCCCCAAGGAACAGGGTCAGTGGGGAGGCAGCATCCACAGCATGAGGACATCGGGGATGTAGTGGGAAGGCTGCATACAAGGATTGCAGGAGCGAGAAGTGTCAGTCCACAGGAGGAGAGGAGAGCCATGGCAGGAAGGGATGAGGGGACTCAGGTCAGCTGGACTGGGACAGCATTGGACTGTGGCAGTGAGGGTGGCATAGGGACTGATGGCAACATGGGGCAGAACCCCAGGGGCTGCATTGCTCCTGCTCACACAGGCAATCCCAAAAGAGCTCACAGCCCACCAATATGGCCTCTGAAAGAAGATTACTTCAGCAGCGCCAGCACTGATGAGACCTGGAGGAGCTGGAAGCTGAGTTATCAGGTTATCCCACTGGGTGACCGCTACCTCAGAGTGTCAGTGCTCAGCTGCTTCCAGCAGAATGCACATAGAACAGGGTGCACTARGCCTTGCAGCAGGTGGAAAAGCCTCAGGAAGCTGAGTCTGAAGAAACACATTCCCCCTTTCCCATTCTGGTCACATCTGCAAGTCTGCACCACTGAATGAGACCCACTGTCTGATCACTGCACCACCCTGCCCTTGGAATAAATAGCAGTCACACAGAATTGTCCCAGTTGAGGCTGATTCAGACTTGTTTTGGTCCACAAAGGAAGCTCAGCTGAGGGCAAAGATCCATGGGCACCAGGCCCCCACAGGAACATTTCTGACCACCCCCAGCTACTTCTGACCCGGCTAAAAACCTATGAATCGAAAGTAAGATTGAATTGCACATTGACTGCACAGTGACTATGCATCCACCTCCCTGCACAAAGAGAACGGCACCAAGGAGGCCCAGGACCAACCCTATCTCTCCTCAGAGCTTGCTTGATCCTCCTGGATACTCAGCCTGAACGTCCACCCAAGAAAGGATTCCTAGAGTGAGCAAGGTGGGAGCCACTGTCTGTGGAAAGGATGGATGAGCAGACTGTGTGCCACATCTTAAGTCACAATGGCCTCAGCAGAACACCTGGCAGCTCCTCATATCAGACAAAGTAAAGGAAGGAAGTGTTCCAAGCCAGGTCAGATGAGGCTTGGAGCAACCTGGTCTAGTGGAAGGTGTCCCTGCCTATGGCAGGGGGTGGAACAAGATGGGCTTTAAATTCCTTTCAATCCAAACCAGTCAGGGATTCTGTGGTTCTGTGAGAGACACATGCAAAGGGACTGTAGGAAAACCCCAGGACTATGCAGGAAATTTCCTGTTTCAAGAGGATAAATATCCCATAAAATACATCAGGGCAAAAAAGCAGCAATGTGAAAAGCCGAGGCCATGTCTTCAGTTCAGTTACTCACTCAGGTACTCAGGTGTTCTGAGGGTGCCACCTGAGCTTCCCAAGCCCTCAGCCCCACTCACACAATCACCTGCCCAAGCACGTGTGACTCTGACAGTGCAAGCCTGCTCAGGCCGGCTTCCCACCCCTCCACACTAACACCACAAATGGGAGGTAAAGTGCTTCTAACAAAGACAATGTTTTCCAGGAATTCCTGGAGATTTTTATTCACACAAGCTGTTGGTCATGGACTTGAGCTTCTTGCTTTCTTTTCTTCAYACTTTCTGACTTCCCCAGCCTGTGGAACAAGATGCCAGTGTCAGGTCCAAGCTGCCTCCCCTCAAARGGACACGGCTTCCCGTCATAGCGCGCCAGGAATCTCAGACCAGAGAGATCCCTCTCTCCTGGCCCAACAGCCAGCCGGGACAGCAGCTTGTCTGCCACGTGTGGGACCACAGGCTGCAGGAGCAGCCCGTACACACGCAGGCACTCCAGTGTGACGTGGAGGATGGTGTCCAGCCAGAGCTGCTCTGCAGKGTCCCTTCGGTCAAGTTTCCAAGGCCGGTGTCTCTGGAAGAAGCCGTTGGTCTGCCGAACATGCTGTGCAATGCATTCCAAAGCCTTGTAGATCTGGAAGCCTTCAAAATAACCATYCACCTGTGCAGGCAGCGAGGCCACTGCTGCCACAAGCTCATAGTCCTCAGCAGACACCCTGCCCGTGGCTTTTGCCTCCCTGGAATCCCGGACCTTTGGGAAACAGGGTTCTGAGAAGCACGGGTAGGTGTTGCTGGGGTTAATGCTGGGRGCTGTTGAGCGATTCAGCAGCCCCCCAAGTGCATCTGCCAGCTCCGAATTCACCAGCTTCACCACCTTCTCATCATAGTAGTCACAGTCCCGCTCCGGGACGCCCTGCCGCAGAAGGAAGTACCGAAACCCATCCACGCCGTACTGCTCCATGCACACGGTGGGGTCCACCACATTGCCCAGGCTCTTGGACATCTTCTGGCCACGCACAGTCCAGTGGGAGTGCACCAGGATGCGCTCGGGGGGGTCCAAGCCTGCTGCCAGCAGCAGCGCTGGCCAGTACAACGCGTGGAACTTGAGGATGTCCTTGCCGACGACATGGTGCACGGACGGCCACCATACCCCGTGGCTCTCAGGGTACCCCACCACGCTCAGGTAGTTCACCAGGGCGTCCACCCAGACGTAGATGGTCTGTGTGGGGTCGCTGGGGACAGGGATGCCCCACTGCAGCCGGCTTCGCTCACGAGACACCGACAAGTCTGGCAAGTCCTCGTCCAGCCAGCGGAGCACGYACTGGTAGAAAGGGTCAGGAAAAATAGCACGTGGGTTGTCCCGGAGCCAGTTCTGCAAGGGATCCCGGAATGCTGAGAGCCTGAACATGTAATTCTCCTCCTTGGTCCAGTGCACCTGAGACAGCAGCAGAGGAAAGGATTATGGCCCCAAGAACAGGCCAATAATTTGCACACACTATGCTTAGCATAGAGTTTGTAGGCAACTCCTTGTGTTTGGTTGTCCTCCCATGCCATGGGAAGCCCTCAGCATCTTTCCATGACTAGCAGGAACCTTCTTACCCAAGACACTGTCTCCTTAGGATCAGGCACCTGGGATGGTTCAGCATACTGTTTTTAAAAATGCTTGTAACCCTGGGAAGGAACACCTTTCTACCCACCAGGTTGATGTGACATCAGAAACAAGTGAGTGAGATAAGATTACACCTTAAAAAGATAGTTTTGGAATGCTGGAAAATCATGAAAAGACAAAATTACATTGTAATTTACCTGCCCTACTGCCAGTCCTGGTGCCTGCCTTCATTCTCCAGGGATCGTATTCCTTTTTCCTCAGTTTATGCTTTACTGCATCTCAGTCACTAACTTTGTTTGCTCACAGCACTGACAGCACTTCTCCCCCACAGTTAAATCCATTAAATGACACATTTAGCTAAACCCGTGAAAACTTGGTGGGTGGATGTGGTACGAGTGAGCTGTGTAAGGCACTCAGGGATCCTTGGCTGGGTCAGCAATCTTGCACGGTACAAGGAAGACCTGAAGAACATCATTTAACGACAAGCTGTACATCTTCACCGCCAGGCTACACTGGACGCCAGAATCCGCTCAACTCACCAGAAGTCTGAGGTTTACGGCATGTGCAAACTCCCCCTTTTCCTTTACAAAATTCCCAAGGAATGAACTGCCCAACTGCCTCTTTCAGGTTGGAGATGAACCCTTCTATCCCTTCCCACCACTCTGCAAGAGCTTTTATGCTCCATGCGTACTCCTGTTTCCTTGGACAGCTCAATACATAGGCAAGGCCAGAACTGTTCTCAGGTTATGCTTGACTTTGAAGTCTGCTGCCTGTTTTAGGTCTAAAGAATGGTTTCTTTGCCTGGAAACTTATCTTTCCCCCAATTATGTTAGGTGCTTTCTCAAGAGTTTTTACTTGCCAATACAGCCCTTTCTGTGTGGACCAACACTCACACATCCCAGCCTCAAGTAACACAGGAGCATTAACCTGTGCTGAGATCTGAGCAGGGTTATCTGTAGCTGCTGGATTACATCATGTAACTCYACACCTTCTAGAAAAGAGACTCTCAGGCAGGTACCACATTCCTGGGCCTACCACATGTGGCTCATTCAGCCACCAGGCTGACCACAGGCAGGTGATTTAGAGCTTTAGGCAGGACCAAAACCCATGTAAAGAGATTGGTAAATGCTCAGAGTCATGCTATTTTGTCTCACAAAATAGGTCTGAAATTCAGAACCCCCAAGGAACATCCTTATCCTCCTGTTCAGCTAGCTTCTCTCATCAYCCCAATCAAACACCATTCCCAGGCCAGCAGTCTGTGGACCCAACAGAAGCTGGACCCTCTGATGGCATGTAGCTGCATTGTGCACCTGTCACGTGGGGTCTGCCAGCTCTCCCTGAGATCCCCATTCACCTCTATAACACAGTGAATCACAGAATCCCAGAGTGGTTTCGCTTGGGAGGAACCTTAAAGACCATCCAGTCCCCCCCCCCTGCCATGGGCAGGGACATCTTCCACTATCCCAGGTTGCTCCAAGCCCTGTTCAGCCTGGCAGGGATAGGGCAGCTACAACTTCTCTGGGCAACCTGTGCCAGTACCTCATCACCCTCACAGAGGAGAGTTTCTTCCCAATATCTCATCGAACCCTGTCTCTTTGAAGCCATTCCYYCTTGTTCTGTCACTCCAGGTCCTCATAAATAGGCTCTCTATATRTTCACTGTTGGCTCCCTTCAGGTACTGGAAGGGACAATTAGGTTACCCCAAAGCTTCTCTTCTCCAGGCTGAACAATTCCCTCASCCTTTCCTCACAGCAGAGCTGCTCCTTTSATCATCTTAGTGTTCTTCYCCRGACTCTCTCCAACAGCTCCATGTCCYTCCTGYGCTGGGCCCCCAGGGCTGAGGCAGCTCTGCAGGTGGGGGGGTCTCACCTGAGCAGGGCAGAGGGGCACAATCCCCCTCTCCTGCTCCACACGCTGGGGATCAGCCCAGCACTCAGGTCATTTCTGCACTGAGAGATGACACACTGTTGAAATACAGGCGAGTCTCAGCCGACACAACTTAACGAAAGGCCACAGGAAGCATAAAACACCCCAAGTTTGGCCGGAGCAGAGCGGCTGGTGAGTACGCAGTGCTCCTGTAGCGCCGTTACCTCATGGCCGGTCTCCAAGGACACTTTGCACGGGCGGCCCTGAGCATCCTTGCGCTCGGCGAGCTGGCTCTCGGGCAGGAAGCTCTCCTGGGCCGTGCAGTACCAGCCCTCGTAGGAGCCCTTGTAGAGCACCCCGCCATCGCGGAGGGCCCCCCAGAAATGCCTCACAGCTCGCTGGTGCCGCGGCTCGCTGGTRCGAGTGAAGTCGGTGTAGGCGACGCCGGCCTGGGTCAGGGCCTGGCGGAAGAGCCCCGAGACCCGCTCGCAGAGCTCCGGGGGCGACGTCCCCGCCGCGGCCGCGGCCTGTTGAATCTTCAGCCCGTGCTCATCGGTCCCTGAAACGGAGACAGACCGCGGGGCCGTAGGGAGAGGCCGCAGCCCACAGCCCCGCGGGGACACAGGGGCCTCGGGACCAAGCTGGACACACGGGGAAGGGGGTCAGTCCCGGGGAGGAGGGTCAGCCCCGCGAGAAGGGGTCACCCTGGATAAGGGGGCTCGGAGCGGGGGTGTCGCTAACCCGTGCAGAGCCGGACCGGGCTGGCGGTGCGCAGGCGGCGGTGGCGGAGCAGCGCGTCGGCCAGCAGCGCCGAGTACAGGTGCCCGATATGCGGCGGCCCGTTCACGTAGAAGATGGGGGTGGAGAGCAGGAGGCGGCGGTCGGATCCGGTGGCGGCGGCGCGGCAGAGCGGGCGCGGGAGGCGGCGGGGCGACCGCCACATGGCGGCGGCGGCGGCGGCACCATCGAGGCGGCGGCGCGGAGCGGCCCCCGGAAGCGGCGAGAGGCGCGTGCGCGGCGGGGCCGGGCCGGGCCGGGCCGGCGGGGCCGCGACAGAGACACCGGCGACATGTTCTGCTGCCGCGCGGCCCTGGTGCGCGCCCTGCGCCCTCCACCGCGGGGACGCGCCCACGCGGGTCAGTGTCGTGCGCGGGTCCTGGGGCCGGGCCGGGGCCGGGGGTGGCGGAGGACCGGGGGACCGGGCGCCATTCCCGCCGCCGCCGCGGCTGCATCCCGCGCGCGGATCGAAACGCTCCGTCCCGCGGTCCGGGGCTGGCACAGGCCCGGCGCCCCCGCCCCAGGGCCGGGTCCCGGCCGGGAGCGCTGTTTGCCGGGGACACCGGGCCGGGCGGTCATTSCCTGTGAGCGGCGCGGGCACGGCCCTGCCCGGAGCGCTGCGGGAGGAGGCGCGGGGCAGCGGAGGGGCGGCTGCTCCGGGAAGGGGAGGGAAAACAGTGGGACAGCCTGAGATACGCGGAGCTGTTTGGGACCTTGGTCGCCTTTCTCGTGGTGGTTTTTATCACAAATAAGTGCCCTGAGGCGGAGGTGAGGCGGGTTCAGCACTCGCCGGGCGGGGAGCAGGTGGAGGTGTCCGCTTGGGCATGGGGATGGAGAGAGCCCAAACCTCTCCCGGGAGCATCGGCCATGCTGGCAAYGGTGCTCGGAGTAGTCCCCGCCACGGCTCCATTTAGGGATGAATTGGGGCGGCCGCAGGCCGTGATTTGATGACAGAAATAAAGCGCTGTGCAGTGGCTCAGCCRGGGGGGCTCCTTGTGCAGCTTGCGCGGCGGGAGGTGCCTGCACCTGGATCTGCTCATTTCCATTGGGRATGCCCTTTTTGCTAGCAGAACCCCATTCCTGGTGGTGGTTTACCACGGTGGAATTTGCTGTGTGAGCAGAGGGAGTTTGGTGCCGGTGTAACCATGCCTACTGCCTGCCCTGGCCAGATTACCTCAGCCTCTGCTTGCTTGTGCCGGAGCCAGGTGCATCCTCGAACAGGAGAGGCCTGGAGAAGGTGTAGGAACCACCAGTACACATCTCTGTGCYCGCCCAGCCTTGTGTGGCTGGAGGCTCCAGCTGCAGGCAGTCCTTCCAGCTGCCTAAAGATACTCATGCTATCAATTAGCTCTKTTACCCCTTGATCTTATAGATTTTGGTATCCACTGCTGCCCACTGCGGTTTAGTATCCAGAGCACACTGTTGTGACTCAGGATAATTCCCCGCAGTTGCTCAGATGTGGTGCTGGGTTTTCCAAACCAGGAATTTGAGTTCAGCACTGACTTACTCTCTAAATTTTCAGACTTACCTTTGTATTGACAGTGTTTTTGTGTTGTTTTCTCCAATAAATTGTGTTCCTTAGGCACGTTGTTGCAACACTGGAATGTGTCCCCAGACCTGCAGCWGAGCAGACAAGTGGCTAGCACAGGCGTGCCTGGGGGAAAGGGCAGTAATTCGGTTTTTGTCCTTATTGTGAGCTTGTCCACCTTAGGAGCAGGTGCCTATGTAAGTAGAAAGGTGGTTCCTGGGAAGAAGCCGTAATCCATCTCTCCTGTCGAGCATCTGCTATATTCCAGCTCTCTGCTCAGCTTTTGATCTCTGTAGCTTTAACTCTGTTTCCTCCTTCAGCCTTCAGAAAACTTCAAGGGGAGCTAAATGGAAATTAACTTCTTATGATTACTTGGGTTTTAACTGTAATTTCAGTTACCTTTTAARCTTTTTTGCCTTAAAGGCATTCTTGAGTTTTTTTTGTTATGACCAACCACAGCTCTATATGTTGTCTTGTACAGGAGTTATTATTAAAGCAAATAATTTGTTGCCAAATTTCAGTTCAGAACATTTGTTTAACTTGTGTAAGAATACCAAATCAACCCCTAAATGGTGAACATTTATATCCTACTTGAAAAGGATAAAGGTTTTCAGCCTGACTTAAAGAGTAAATGACATTTCTAGAGAACTGAAGAGTATCAGCATGCCTGGGAGTGGATAGATCCCAAATTTACATCACACAAATCTTTGTTTCCAAGCTCTTTTTCTTGGAGGATCATCTTCATTAAAAGTTCCAAATTCTGATTTTCTCCTAAGGAAGCTCCTGGAAAGAGGAAAATAATTCAAAACAGTGCATGGAAGAAAAATACTTTCCTATTTACATTAAATTTAATTCTTTCCTGTATCCTGCTGCTTTTTTTTTGCAGACAAGGTAGCTGAAATTACAAAGCATACTGCTTTTCCCAAGACCTATTTAATCAAGAATTCTTCCTAATATTCAGCTCTTTCCCTCTTCTCTTCCATTGCCTGTCTTCACCTGCAGTTTTGCAATGCCATCAGCTAAGGTGCCCTTCTAGATCCCTGACGTCTTCAGGTGTTCCTGGCAAAGCTGGCAGCAACCTCTTGTTATACTTAATAGTGGGAGGAACAGTCACTGGGACAGGAGCTTATGTAAGATGCTTCACTAAATGTGTTTGTTGGGTGGGAGGGTGGAGGGGGGCACCTGTCTGTACCTCCCACCCTGTTACCCTTCACTTCCAGCCCTCTTTGTGCTCGCTGGCCTCAGTTATTTCATTTTCAAGGGACATTGCCAAACAACTCAAGGTTACAAATTGGATGTTGCCAAGCAGTGCAGTTCTTATTGGCAAAACCTGCCTTAGAATTAATCTTTCCACGTTAAGTAAATCTAAACCCAAACTGGCTATCTTGGGTTTGTGATCATGTAAGGGCACAAATTATTAATTGATGCATCTCTCCTGATATCAGTAATGTTGGCGTGCAGAAAAGGAAACAATAACTGATTATAAGCGTGCAAGAGGGAAGAAAACTTGTCCAAGCTGATCATTTCCTCAGGGAAGAGCACTGAAACATCACCCGTGTCCTGGCAAAGTGTAATTCAGTTTCTGACTAGAAATAAGTTGACACTGTCCCATTGGAAATATTTATCCTCAAGGCCTGATCTGATGTTTTGCCTGTGCATAATAGTGTTTCTTCGTATGGGATCAGGTTTAATTTGCTGTATGCTGCCCTTTGGACTTGCTTAAACTCTTCCTGGTTCTGCTTGTAAAGGCAAAGGTGGATTGTTAACCTTGATTTTTCTGTCTTTGAGCAAAAGGCATTAAAAATACCTTTGTCCTAATTCTTCTCAACTCTGACAAGTTCTTGTTTTCTAATATTTCTGGCATTTCTCCAGTTCCCTGGACAGGCTTTTGTCCCATGCTCTTTTTTTCTGCCTGGCATTAAATTCCTCCATTCTTGTTTGATACTATTTGCTATAAAACACCAACTTGTGAGGATTGGCAAATGAAATTTGATGTCATGCACATGATAGAGATTATTAGCAMAGCTGGGTTTTGCTTTAAAGAAAGGTTTGCTTTCCTCTTTTTTTTTTTGTCCTTGGGGAAAAATACTGGACTCTGACCTGCTCCCAACACTCCCATTGTCTTCAGCTCCTGTCCRTTACCAGTTTTTCTTGGAAGTTTACATGACGTAAAAGATGTTCTCTCCTTGTCTGTACCATTAAATTGTACATGCAGACTCTGCTTTTGCTGTATCCTGAGTTTCACAGTCATATAACCAGGTCAGCATTCAGCTGGAAGAGATTCCATGTCCAAGGGCCATTCCCTGCAGCAGCCCCACTCCTGTGGCTGGAGGCACTGCTCATGTCAGTGCCACCACCGTGCCTGTATCACTTGGCCTAGAGAAATCCACTCAGCTTGTTGGCTCTGCCCAGCTKCTCTGGGCTTTGGAAGCTGGGGGATGCTTTTTCTTTGGATTTGTCTTCCATTTCTGCAGCCTTGTGTCATGTCATGACCCAGCTTGCACATGGTCTTGGGGCTGGTTT